AAAAAAAAAAACCAAAAACAAACCCACACACTACTCTGTTTTAGTTACTGACAGACTTCCTGGAACAAAAACAGTTAAAAATGGGTTTATGAAATCTTACAAGTCACTAAATGCAAAAGATATTAGTGATGTGTTAGATATGGTGATTCTTCAATATTTTTGAAATATATAAAGCGACATGATTGATATGCTAGGGCTATAAAAAGCTACAAAATATGCTTAAATACAGGAACAACCCCCCCTGATGCCGCCTTATGGCAGCCTGAGTTGCGACTCCCCACACTTATGACCATTTTTGTAAGTGCAGAAGAGGCTCAAAACCCCCAATTGTCATCCTCGGCTTGCATTCACAAAGGCATACGGCACCTATCATAAATGCAGGTTTGAATTACGATGCCCCCGACTTGCAACGCTTCCACAGGAACTGATCGTGTCAAGTTGGGGGCTGCCTGTACAAGTTTGTGATAAACAGAAATTCCTGTAGCTCTTTTGGTCTTATGTTCTAATTTTAAAAAATAGCCTATAAAAAGTTATGGGCCGGAATGCCCCAAAGCCCAAATGTAATACACAACTCCAGTAGATATGGAATAGTCCACTTATAGAGCATTCCGGGATTGGCCAAGGATATCCTAAGCCAAAGGGACATCAGTCTAGGGGTGCTAGCCAGCAGAGTAAGGCCATAATATGGATCACATGCAGTGCTGGGTGGAGTGAAAGAGGCAAGGGGAAGGTAGCATGGAGATCTGGTGTTCAGAAGGTAGATCCATAAAAAGTGAGAATTTAAGAAATCTCTGGAAAGCCAGTTCTGCCACAGCCAAGGTACCAAATGCTTGGATCCATCTTTAAGAAACTTCAGGGTGCTGGTTAAATAGCTTATGTAAAGGAGAGAATCTTACCTGTTAATGAGATTTTGACCTCTGGGCTCAAACCAAGAATGATGACAGTTTGTTATGTGCAGGTGATAGGTTAATTTAAGCTCTTATCAATGCAACCTACTGATTGCAGTGGTCTTGTGCCCACACAACTAAACAGGGATTTTGGCTCTATGTCCTCCACTTACACAGAACTTTCCATCTATATATCATTGTCCAAGCTGTTCCCGACTCTGGCACTGAGTGCAGAAGGTGAGAGCCCACAAGAGATTTTAAAATATCTTGCCACTAAAGACTTCTGCTTAAGAAAGCTCCCCAAGGTCACAGATTTCCCGACTGGGTGGCACACTGCCGCCACCCAAATGCCAAAACTGCTTTGAGAACCCATTTGGGAATTTCTCCCTGTGGGGTACCCTCAAGCTCTTTAGACCTCCTTCATGAGAAAACTTGAAAATAAACGTATTCCTATTAGGCAACCTTGCAGTTGTATGCAAGTGCACACACAACCTCCTGCCTTCTAGGACACAGGAATCAGATCATAGTCTTAAAAAGCTGATTTTATTAACAAAACAAAGACCAACATACTTGGTAAAGCATTTTTTGGTTGCTAGATGTTACAGCACAACTGTAAAAAGTAAGATTAAAACTACAGAAGTGCTTCCCTAGGATTCAATTAAAAAGTTAGTGTCCACGGGTAGTATGTGGGCTCAGAACAAGGGAGTCCAACAAACCCCCAAATAAAGAAAATAATCTGATTGCATTTGACTAAACATTTCCTGTTCTGCTGACATATCTGTTGTTACAAGATTTCTCTTTCCCAAGGCATGGATATCACTGTAAAGTCCATGCCTTGCTCCTGGCGTAACTCATATCTCCAGCTCAGGCTACATCTACACTACGTTTTGTTCTGTTTTTTTCAGGAAAAGATACGCAAATTGCAAACCACAAATTGCATTCCAAAAAAGTGGTCGTGTTCCCTGGATGCGGTTGAGCTTTTCCATGTTAATCCCAGAAAAACTCTGCAGTCTAGACGTAGCCACAGCCTGAAGCAGGAAGGTCCTGCTTTTCAATTAAAAACCCACACACATTTTCATTGGCTCCCCTGGTTCCCTGCCAGCACTTCCTGGAGACTCTCTAGGACTCACTGTTCTAGGGTTTAACCTTTACAGGCAATGTAGTTAACTGAATGGCTCGGATATCCAGAAAAGGGTAGTACCCCTCCCCTTCATCACAATTATGATCTACATTTATGCATTTGGGTTGCATTTTTGTCTCCTTTGTTTGAGCAAGACTTAGTGAAAGATCTGTCAACCCTTAAAAAACTTAAACTCATCTATATTTGGCTAAATACAGTAGATTCTGTAAAAAGTTTTTAAACAACTTTGCTCAGTGTTGTCATTCTAGGATGGCACTAATTCATACATTACATGTAACATACTTGTTCTTTTAATTGCATATATTCTGAAGAACATAATTTCCTCCCCTTGAAAGTATTATAAAAAATGTTAGTTATCCACTGACTGGAAAATGGAAAACAAGGTGCCCATTTTGAGTAGGTGAAATAATTGGGGGTAGTACTAATTTATAATGTTTTTGATATTACCTGCTACTCTCATAAGTAAACTAGGGAAAATGTGATGTTAATGTAAGGGGCATAGTTGACCAAAAAAAAAAAAAAAACCACTCAAAGAGTAGTTTACCTATGGTTCTCAGTCAAACCAGCACTATGGATCTAGTGGGGCTCCACCCAGTGTCTCTCCTGGGTCTGGTACTGTTCAATATTTTAATTAATGACTTGGATAATGAAGTAGAGAGTACATGCTTATAAAGCCTATGGACAACACCAAGACAGATCTAAGAGGACAGGGTTAGACCTCAATAGGTCCTTAACATATTGGAGAATTAGGCTGAAACCAAGATGAAGATGAAATTCAATGAAAACATGTGCAAACTACTACATTTAGGAAGGAAAAATGAAATGTACAAATGGGGGAATAACTGGCTAAGCAGTCCAAAGGCCTCAGTGATAATGGATCACTAAATATGAGTCAGCGGTGTGAGGAGGTTGCCAAAAAGGTGAATAGCACTCTGTAATGTATTAACAGGAGCGTCGTATGTAAGACATGGGTGGTAATGGTCCTGTTCTGCTCAGCACTGGTGGATAAATTGGAGGGAACAGCAAGAGGACCGTAACAAAAAATGACAACAGGTTCAGAAAACATGCCTGCAGCAAGAACTGGCTCTCACTAGGAGGTGCCTTCAATGTTTTAAGGAAAGATAGCTTTGATTTGGTGGTTCTGGAGTGGGATTTCCAAAACCATTAGAGCAACATGGAAGATAATTAAACTTGGGGTCTGCCCTGCACCTCAGGGCAAGGGTTCTCAACTGGTTTGTCACTGAGATGCAGATTAAAAACCATAGTGCAGGCCCAGAGGTGGAGACTCAGACTGCACCACAATAGGCCAGGCAGCACCTGGGACCTGAGTGCCGGATCACAGCAGCAAATTTTGTATTGTTTTAGCACACTAATTGGGCCCTATGCAGAGGCTGCAGATTGAGAACCACTGCCTCAGGGTGGTTTTCAGTGCAATTATGGAACATCTGAAGACGCTTTCAGTGCAATTATGAAACACCTGAAGAGTACTGATGTGTGAACACGGAACATCTTAAGGAGAAAGTTCATAGCTGACACACTGAAATCTCTCCCGAAGATAAATGTTACATGTCTGGGACCACAAATCTCAATGAAAGTAGGGGCACTGACTTTTAGATGCTCTTGGAAATTGCACTTTGTCTATCAGCAGAAAGATGCAACTCTTGTGCTCACTGAAGTGGATGGGAATTTACAACACTTTTTACACTCTTGTAAGGCCCCTTTTCATTCACTTTTTATATAAATATCTTATTGATTGTGGTATGCAGAGCTCACAGAATACTGCATTTATGTTACACAAGTATCTGTGGTCACAGAAAAAACATTTACAGATGATCATGTGAAAGACTATCACAGAACAGCTGGATAACAGGAAAAGTTAAGGTCTGACATTTCCTTAAATTTGTTTCTTTTTCTTTTAGGCCATTTCTAAAGATGGATTATTTACAAGCTGTGCCCCAAAGCATGTGCCTGACACAAACAGAACTGGTCACCCCAGTATTAATAAAAGACAAATACAACAATGACAGAACTGGAGGTCAGCACATGTGATGAGAGAAAAATTGTCTAGAAAAAATGCAAGGAGTCATAATTATGCACGACCCATTAATGAAAGAAACAGAATCATGTCTGAAGATAGCAAAGTAAGTAGCAATGGGTTGACAAAGAAAAATTTGAGATTAGACAAAAAAATATTCTGGAGCAATTGGATGGTAGAATCAGGCCATCAGAAAAAGAAAATGAAAGCAGGTTATTTTATAGTACAGGCAGTCCCCGACTTACGTGGATCCGACTTACGTCGGATCCCTAGATACGAACGGGGTGAGGCAACTCCCGCACATGCGCAGCAGCATTCCCGGGGCTCGCTCACCTGGGTCCTAGGATCCTTCTCCTCCTCGGGCCGGCTCCGACTGGGGTCCCGCAGAGCTGCTGGGCAGAGGAAAAGTGCCTCCCCACTCCCGCTGCCCCCCCCACCCCCCTGCCAGCAACAGGCTGCCCCCTCCCCTGAGCAACAGGCTGCCGAACAGCAGACAAAAGCAGCCTCTCCGCCCCTCCTCCCCCTATACATGCTGGGCTCCCTGGGCAAACAAAGACTCCACCAAAACAAACAAAGTGCTGGCCTCATTGTGTTAGCAAAAAAAGGACCCTCCTCCTAGAACCCTTGGTGGTGTGTGGAAATAAAGCTATTAGCTCAAAGCATGGTGCAGAGCTGTTTGGTATTTGATGAGTTACTCCTTTAGTCCTGAGTTTGTCACAGGGACAGAAATAGATGTGAAATCTTCTGAACAGGGGAACAGACAGCAAAACAAACATTAGAGGGGAGTTAACCTTTCCCTATGCTATCCAAAACTAAAAAAAATGTTTGGCTAGAGTTTCCCCTACAATATGTACCAGTTCCGACTTACATACAAATTCAACTTAAGAACAAACCTACAGTCCCTAGCTTGTACGTAACCCGGGGACTGCCTGTACTGTGCCAAAAGCACCACATTCAAGCATAAGTTTGAGAAGTGCTTTCTGCTCAATAATTAATAGCATTTTAAACAAGCAAGCATCTTACTAATTGTTCAACCCCTACTTACCAAAGGGAGAGACATTGGACAACTCATGAGAAATAAATGTTGTTAGCAGCACTAGCGGAGCTGCATTCATGCAGTCTTTTCAGACATTCTTGTTAGTGGAAAACTTGTATTTTCAGTCCACTTCCTCTCTTTTTCAGAAGGTCTGTAATGATGCAATGTCACTGAACAGCCAATGAAATGACAAGGATGCATGTAATATAGCAGAAGCTTACTCCTGTGCAAAACATTGGTCTTGGCTATCAGCCGTGAAAACCCATTTTACATTGTCACTCTTATCACCTGCTTTTGTGTGTTTACCCACGTAATGGTCAGTGGCCACTGAATCAACTCAATCCATGTTTTTTACTGTTCTTTCCCTGACTTAAAAAGTATTTGTTACCACAGAATCCTTTCTGGTACAAACTACCAGGATTCTGCAATTAAACATAGACTTATGGCAGTATTTGAAAGAAGCCAAGAATTGTTTATATACAGAGACTCTAATAAAAATTCTGTTATGTTACTGATAATCCTTTATCAACTACTTGGATCTTCTATTTAAGAGAAATTAAAAATAATGTCATGAGGACAATAGTTAGCTCAATGAAATACAAATTACCTCTAAGAATGAACAGACAGTCCATGAATCTATTAGGCTTTTAAAATGCTTTCTTTAGCTATACTGAATATTAGCTCTGCTAAGCTCAAGCAAACAGTTTTTATTGTGTGGTTATGAATGACACAATTTCATTACTAGCTTCAATGTTGCTATTGAAAGATCATCTTACATGAAACAAAAACAATCCAGCTGTGAGAAAAAGGTTTCTTTATTTTTCTCTAATATAAGAATTCATGTACATGTTTTGCAATGATTTTTCTTAAGATCTAAAATATGACTAACAGATGTGAACAGGCACATCACAGAAGTAGTACACAACAGTCAGTGAAGAGAGAAAGGAATAGTTCAATCTGTTTTGTACAAGGGGGATATCAAGACAAACACACACAATCCTACCTAATCAATAAAAATTATTGGGGTGGGGGGGGGGGGTGAGAGAACAAAACAAGACACAGGCTTGTGCCACTAGTTCTGCATTTTTGTATTTTGTTGGTGAAACTTTTATACTTCAGCTGAGAAAAATACCTGCCTTATAAAACCTGGACAAGTTTTTCTTACAAAATGAAAAATGTGGTTGAAGGTAAATGATGTGATATGAATAAGAATCTGGACAAATCGTTAGAAGGAAATCTGTCTGCCTTTTAATAATTACAACATGTGCAGTGTTGGCCAAATTCTTCACTTGCATTACTTCTGTTTCACCCATTTATAAAAGCAGAGAATTTGATCCTACACATTAAAATGTTCACCAGGTTCCAATCTAAAATATACCCAAAGTCAGGGCCCAGTCTCGCAAACCCTATACCCAGGCCTAGCTGTAAGACTGGGAATAGTCTCATCAATGTTAATGAGATTATTTATTCAGGTGATTAAGGTTAGACATAAGCATACATTCTTGTAAGACTGATGTCTCAAATTATAAAGACTAAATAAGGAATGAAAAAAATCTTGAGAAAACAGGCCGAGCTTCTCATGCTTTAGAAAGGGCATAACAATTTTAACTTAGATCATTAACACACAGATACAACACAAAATTGAAAATTATGAACACTATAAGAATTGAAATTTGGAGTCAGGAAAATTATGCATAGTATTCTACAGCTATTAATACACTACAATTTGGTAGAGACCTTTATATACTGCTGTGTGTTATATATCCAAAAAAAGTTTGAAATGCACTGCAAAAAAGCACATACATGAGTATGTCTCCCATGTGTACATACTGCCCAGAGATGCATATGATTAGCTCATCAGAACACCAGCTGCTGTTGGAAGTCTTAAATTGAGCATAAGAGAAACTTTTCCCACAGATATGAACATAAAGTCTAGATAGAAGTGTAGGTATCTAGAAAAGTTTTAGTTAGAACAGTTATTTAAATTGGATTACTACAGAATTATTTCCATATTCAAGATGAACAATGTCTACATGTGTTTTATATAGTTCAAACAAAATTCTTAAACTATAACTTCCATTTTTTTCCTAATTTACAAATACATAAAATGTGAGCTCAGACATTTAAAAAACCCTAAATTTTCAAACAAAACATGGAAATTAAGAATATATTTGCTTTTATTAGTCATATGCTTCGTTTTGATTTTTTTCTACAGTAATTAAAAGTTACATCTAAAGGTATTCCACCTCATCTTTATAATCAAGGAATAAATAAGAATAACTTACATATGTTGTAAATAAAAATAAATAAGTTCTAAACTATTTATTTTTTAATTGTTCTCTTAATTGCACAGTATTATACCTGTCTGATAGCAATATTAAGTCAACTGGACATTTTTAAACGTTCTGATATTATGATAGCCATGTGTCAGTCAGTAATTCAGTCTTACCACACAAAAACCATCTTGCTCAAATCTTCACCTGAGAAAAGTTTTGGTAATGCTTATTCTGGCATTAGTGGTGCCCAGACTTTAAAATCTTCACATCTATCATGCCAGCCAACAATGTTTCTTCATAAGTCTTTTTTCCTAAGGCAAATGACCCAGGGTTTTAGGTCTGACTAAACAAGATACTCTGGTTTTCATCCATATCTTTATTTTTAGATGATAGTCTCCTCCGATTGCTATAGCCAAACTCCCCTCTCCTCTTTGAATACTCATTTACATATTCAAAGAAGGGCAAAGAACACATCAACAATCTACACTCCCAATCTTCAAGTGTGAGCACCACCTGGAGTCACCCTAAATCTGAACAATATCTTATTTGGTTCAATGTGATACTTTCAGGTCTGCCATTGGAACTGCTAGGGTTTGGTTTGGTTTTTTAATTCAGACATATGGGAAAAAAAGAAATTACCTACAAAGAGAAAATCTTACCTCAGAAAAGTAGTAGCTAGTGGTGATAGATTTAAAAATAAAAGGAAGAATTGTTTAAAATGTTAAACAGAGGGAACAGTGGTTAACAATAGCTTTGATATAAAATATGGGCCAAAATTAGTCTTGGTGTTTTTTCACTGAAGTTAAAACAATAAGGGAAAAATTGCTCATGAACATTTAACTCATTAAAATGGAATATTTGAGATGTGTTTAAAAAGCTAATATTCACAATCTAGCTACATAAAGAAGAATTGTGAGTGGATTTAATATGGAAATATGCGTACCATATACAATATTGAATCTATATAAGCAGAGAGTGTTGCATTTTAAAACTACTTAATTTATGTATCAAATAAATGTATCAAAGTAAATTCTCCTAAAATACTGAAAACAAAGTAAAATGTTGCCCTCTTTTCAGCGATGGCTTTGCTTGAATACTTTATCCGGAAATGAAAGCCATATTACCCAAACTGAGCAAAGGCAAGCAGTAAATAGCCCAGTTGGACTTCATATATAAATTGCATCTTTACAGTTATATTGTTTGCATCTTTGCATATAACATAAATCAAATGTAAAGTTTTGCCAGTATTACCACAGTCCTATACATACTTGTATGCCATCACTTGTTATTAACTATTTAGAGCAAACTCTTCCAGGATGATGAGATCACAGAAGGCATTGCTCATGTGCTTTATTACTCATAAGGAGAAAAATACTAAACAGGCAATATTTTGTCACCAATAAATTTCCTTTGCACAATATAGCAAAGTTTGAATTTAACTAGCATATCATTGCACAATATTAAAAGCTGCCAAATAACTTCTGTGCTTACATTTTGTAAAGTAATTTTAGTGCTTTAGGACAAAGTACAATTTGACATGGTATAAGAATGCTTCTTGCAATCAACTTGCTTTAAATGATTCAATACTGTATTAATATACAAGGAATCATCTAATGCTGATAGCTCTTATCTGTGCACTGCAGCATACAGTGCCATGTTACTTCTCTCACCATTTTAATTATGTTGCCAAGACTAATGATACATGTATTAGGAGACATTCTGACTAAAAAAATTAAAAAGTGAAATGCATCTATTACATACACATCTCTTCTCACGTTCAAAGGAATTATCTTTTGGTAAAAGTTAATTCATACATACAAATATAAATGTAGAAAAACATTAAAGACAAAACACTCTAGTACAATCATTTCATTATTAAAACAGACGAACCTACTCTATGGTGTACTACTTAAAAGTGTCATTTGATTTAAAAATCTTAGTTCACAACTAAGATAAAACTCACTGTTTAGAACGTCTATGTCAGTACTTTACTAGTCTCTACATTAAAACATGTTCTACAGATAGTGACTAACAGATCATGGGGAAAATATTGTCACAGGTGAATAGGTTCTCTCCCTAACCAACTCAAGATCGCTTATATACAGCACTGTTTTATTACAAGGGACTGATGAATGCAGATCCCACCTCAAAAAACAGTAAATCTAGAGAGAGGAACACTTCCTGAATTAAGTTTGCTGAACATGGTTCAGATTATTGGATACATCTATAAATTCAATGCTTTTTAGAAGCATTTACTGTATACCCTAATCCTACTTCTTGCAACACACAGTGTCACACAAGTAGTGAAAATGTTTTCCTACATTGCTTGGACATCATTTTCAGGCAGCATTTTACCTTATTTTAGTAAGTTCACATTAGGTATGTTTTAGAAAGAAGAAAGTGCCAATACCTTTTTTATAATACAATTTATAAAAATATAAAATTGAAACAGACACTTACAATTATTGTATTTTTATTTGTCTACCCCTATTCTGGATTGAAATCTATTGTTTTAAATAAGGGATAAAATGTTGCCCAAAATTCTAATTATAGTTACACATTTGTGTTTTAACTAGATCTAAAAATCAAAATATTTCTCAGTTAAAAAGATACAATTTGTATCAACAGTATAGGTACTTTCTGGTTCTTCAGGGCCTTGCTTTAAATTGCAGCAAGTATATCAAAATTATCACTTATATTGTAAGCTAGTGGTTTAACAACACTGAACAATGTTACTTTACATGGAAACCTAAAACTGTAGGCAATTGGCTACATCATGTAAATACACTCCTCTGTCAATGACTTGCAAACCTTGTATTAAAAAGTTGAAGCAATAATAAAACCCATGACTTAAAACCAGAAATATCCCTTACTAATACTAAAACAGACTATTGTATCTGTTTCTACAGCAATACTATATGTGGCAAGAATTGGGCCTCCATAATAGAAGAGGCCAAAAACTAACTTCTAGAACATATACAGTATCTTACAAAAATGTTTATCATTTTCAGCTACAATACCATTACCATAGTGCAGTTAATAAATGTTGCATATCCACGACACACAAAACTTTCTAAGGCCAGCCTTGATAAATAGCAAGAAAAATGAACAGTGTCTTAAATACAAAACTTGCATTGAGAATACTTACATTAATTAAAAACAGGTAAATATTTTATGAAAAAGCATATTTTATCCATTACACCTGTGCACAAATACAAATAAAGAGAAACATATCAAACAATTTACTGGAATCCTATTCTGTTCCATTTCTACTGACCAGAAGCACACAAGCACTGGATAACAAATGTATCTGAACTGAAATATTCACAGCCTGATTTTAGGCAGTTCTGAACAGCTGCAGCTTTTACCTGATTCAAAGGAAGTTGCATATGCTCAGCAATTATTCTAATCAGAGCGCAAGGCTTTGCCTTATCCAAAAAGTAATGGAAATGAGTTCTTTTGCCTTTGATTGCATCTGCTTTTACTAAAATCAGCTGAATCATTAAAAACTATTCTTCAAAGAGCAATGAAAGTGCCATACTGTAAATCACTAATATATTGTTACCCATTTCAACATTAACTGGTAACTTAACATTTTATTTAAAAAATAAAGTCAGTGCCATAGTAAATCTTTGTTTTCTATAAATAAATCATTATAGCACAAAGAAGCCCACAAAATAAATAAATAATAAATTAATTGTTATTAAAAGTTCAAATTAAGCTTAGCTTGAAAATTGTTTTTACCAGGTCTATTAAACTCTTTCAGCTTTCTGCAGATTCTTTTAATGCCTTGCAGCTGAAGGACAAACATCCAGTAAGTTATAAAACATGTAACAAAAAGATAGAAAGTGCTGCATATAAACCCCTGATGCACCAAAGATTATTATTAGAGACCAGAGATACACACACACACACACACACACATATTAAACTTAGACTGGAAAGTTTTCCAGTCATTAACATAGCTTAAAACCATTTAAAAATGTCAAGTTAGAATGTAAAACAAACCTGTTACTTCCAATGCATGGGGCATACAGATTCCATGATACTGTATTTCACATAAATGGATTACTATATAACCTCCTTGCTGAGAAGGAGATCACATATGCTATTGTAGCAAACCTCCCTCAGCATTTGAGCTGAACTGAAAACTACTAGACACCACAAAGATGCATCATCTTTCAATAACCTAGCTGGGATTTTTCCACTAAAATAGCTGCAGCAAGTTGCTGAGCATCTGTCATGTGAGGATTCCTTTTCATAACAATTCTCACAAGATCAGGAGGGAAGATGTTGCATAAGTTTATATAAACCTTCTCCCGGGTGTCCTGATACCTCGGAGGGTCTTGAGGGATTCCACAGAAAGGTATGCACCAAGTCTGATCTTGCTGTTCAGGTAAACTTTGGAAGGCAAACTGCTCATAACATGGCTGTGTGGGATTACTAGGCAAGGAATAAGTCTGACGATAGCCATATGCATCAATCCCATAACTCTGCCTATCCCAACTTCCAAGCCCATCTTGGCTGGAATAAGGCTTTCTTTGTCTTAATGGAGAATTATCATATAAACGTGAATCTGAAATGCTATCTATTCTTGTGGATACAAGGGCTCTACCCAGATGCATGGTCTTTGAATGTTGCAAACTCTGAGAAGGAGAGTAGTCATTAGGGCAACTAGAACGAGCACCAACGGTAGGATGCTGTAGATGTACAGACATGTACGGAATAGGAGGTTTGTGATGCTTTGGTTCTTCATGGCTATAACTTTGCACTCTTGTTAAAGGATCATGGTAACTCTGCAGGAACGGCTGTGAATTAAGACGGCTATGTGGATGCACATGTTGGCACTTTAAGTTCTCTTCTAATTGTGGGTCAGGTGAACTCATGTAAGACCGATCATTGTAACCCACATAAGAATCGCTACTACCACAGCTCATACTGCCTTCACTGCTACAATCAGAAGCTACAGAGCTAATTCTATAATCTGTGTCTAAGGAGAAACGCCTTTCAGGACTACGTGGACCAGAGATACTTAAATTTGAATAAGTATTCAGCATAGAGTAGTAGCCTACGTCCACAGGAGACTCACATTTTGGGTATTGGTCATAAGGCATTGGCGTTCCATGATTTTTGGTTGCCATCATCATTGGAGGATATTGTCCCTGTGATCTTTGATCCTGAGGGGGGAAATGAACCCCAGATGGAAGGCCATTGCTTAAAGGAACAGTACTTTGGGGTTTTATAGCTGAAGAATTCGGTATACTAACTAAAGAAGGAACAGACCTGGTTTCCAATTTGTTTTTGGTGGGAAGCTTTTCCTCCAAGTCTTGATAGACTTGAGTCCTTATGCTAGGGTCTGATTGCCTCTTTGGAGCAGCACGTTTGAGATCAGAAGTGCCATCAATCTTAGTGCTACAAGGAACACTGTTGCTTTTTACCAGTCCTCCTTCATTTGCAGCTTTGGCAGCTGTGCTTCTAGACATGGCTCGAAGTTCATCAGCTACAGACCGCTGAGGCTGATTCCCTCTTTCTGGGTGGTAGTATTTGCATTTGTGTCCATAGGTACATTTCTTTCCTATTAAAATTCATACAAGTTGAGGTAAAGAAGAAAATAAAATTATTTAGCTTCTTGAATTGGAAACTTTCAATTTTTAAAAAAAATTGAGAGTGAAATTAAAAGGTTTTAAAACTGCGTGCACATGTGTTGTGTTACAGAGGTGAGGTAAGGTTTTGAAACCTACTTCCTTGCTATGTGGAAACTGTGATTTGCTGTAGCTAATATTCAAACAGGTAAAAATTTAGATAGCACAAGGCTGAGACAGAGCAAGCAGAAAATATTCATCAGGCTGCCAGTGTACCTCAATTCTGTCTTGAAACATCTCTTCTACGTTCCCACTTTCTACTCCCGTAAACCAAGGAGTGTGTAAAGTCCAACCTTGTTTACATTTGAGAATTTGGGTTTTGAACTGCAGTGCACTAAATTCTTGTGCTTTCTTCACCACCTTCCCACTGTTCTAAAATGTAATTTTCTGTCTACTTTTAATTAATATCCACAACCTTTATATTTTTACTTCATCTCATTTCAAGGAACACACTTCCATGAAGTATCGCTAATGAGAAGAACTGAACATTATGCACATGCAACAAATCAGTCTTCATGCATATAGACCTTATGGCTTTCAATATGATCAAACTGGACACAGCTGGCATTAGCAGCAAAAGCTGCTAACATTTGAGCTGAAGGAGGTATTTGTTAGCATGTAGGCAGATGCTTTAGTTAGTGGGTGACACAAAAGTGGAATTTTTTTTGTAATTTCCCTCCCCTATATGTACCTTAGTTTCCCCTATAAGTTGCATGGGTAGCCAGTGGAGACAGGGGAGGACACTAAGGATACGTCTATACTGCATGCTTATTTTGAAATAAGCTATTCCAGAAGAAATACTCCGAAATAACTTATTTTGAAATAGCGCATCTACCCTACAGGGAACCCTCAAAACTTGTCCTACACAGGTTTCCCTAACATGTGGACGTGTTACCTCAATTTAGAGCCCAAAGACGTCCTGGGGACTAATTCTTCTGAATGGCCCTGTGGAGGAACTATTTCAAAATAGCTGCAGTGGTGCGTCCATACTACTGCTATTCTGGAATTTCAGAATAGGCTTCATTCCTCTGGAATGAAGTTTACAGAAGTTGGAATAAGGTGTCTGTTATTCTGAATTTATTTCAAAATAATGGAATTGCTGTGTAGATGCTCGCATTGTTATTTCAAAATAACTGCTGTGTAGACACATCCTAAGTTTGCTCCCAGAAAAGGCTAAGAGACATTGAGGAGTACAGGATCTTTCGAAAAAGGTTTTTTTTTTTTTTTTTTTTTTTTTAAAAGAACCATGTCTAGATGGCGGTTTCACTTTCGAAAAGCCCTTTTTCGAAAGAATGCGCGGCCCCCATTATGCAAATATGATTTAGGATACCTTAGGGCATGTCTAGACTACATCCCTCTTTCGAAAGAGGGATGTAGTCTAGACATGCCCTAAGGTATCCTAAATCAGACTCTTCTGCATAATAGATGATCAAGTCTTGCTTGCTTTGCTAAGGAGCACAAAATATACTGACTTAGTCAATGTGAACATGTCTGCTTGTAAAAACTTTAAAAATAAGGAATGGTCCTGCATCACCTTAGAGACTAACAAAAAATGTATATGGTATTATGAGCTTTCGTGGGCATAAGAACGTAAGAATGGCCATACTGGGTCAGACCAGTATCCTGTCTTCCGAAAGTGGCCAGTACCAGGTGCCCCAGAAGAGGTGGACCGAAGACAATAATCAAGCAATTTGTCTCCTGCCATCCTTCTCCAGCCTTTGACAAACAGAGGCCAGGGGCACCATTCCTTATCCACTGGCTAATAGCCTTTTATGGATCTAACCTCCATGAATTTATCTAGCTCTTTTTTAAACTCTGTTATAGTCCTAGCCTTCACAGCCTCCTCTGGCAAGGAGTTCCACAGGTTGACTGTGCGCTGTATGAAGAAGAACTTTCTTTTATTAGTTTTAAACCTGTTACCCATTAATTTCATTTGGTGTCCTCTAGTTCTTATATTATGGGAACAAGTAAATAACTTTTCTTTATTCACCCTCTCCATACCACTCATGATTTTATATACCTCTATCATATCCCTCCTCAGTCTCCTCTTTTCTAAACTGAAAAGTCCCAGTCTCTTTAGCCTCTCTTCATATGGGACCTGTTCCAAACACCTAATCATTTTAGTTGCCCTTTTCTGAACCCTTTCCAAGGCCAAAATATCATTTTTGAGGTGAGGAGACCACATCTGTACACAATATTCAAGATGTGGGTGCACTATATTTTTATATAGGGGCAGTTAGATATTCTTTGTCTTATTTTCTATCCCTTTTTTAATATTTCCTAGCATCCTATTGGCTTTTTTGACTGCTGCTGCACACTGCGTGGACGTCTTCAGAGAACTATCCACGATAATTCCAAGATCTCTTTCCTGATTAGTTGTAGCTAAATTAGCCCCCATCATATTGTATGTATAGTTGGGGTTATTTTTTCCAATGTGCATTACTTTACACTTATCCGCATTAAATTTCATTTGCCATTTTGTTGCCCAGTCATTCAGTTTGGTGAGATCTTTTTGAAGTTCTTCACAGTCTACTTTGGTCTTGACTATCTTGAACAGTTTAGTATCATCCGCAAACTTTGCCACCTCACTGCTCACTCCTTTCTATAGATCGTTTATGACATAGCCCACTTCTTCAGATGAATAGAGTTTAAGGGGTCCAGGTTCCAAATAAATAGCAGAAAAAGAGAGGGGATGGGGAAGGAAAGGAAAGGAGGGAAAAAATGGGGAAAAAATAGTCAATTAGAATGTCCTTGCTACATGAAGCTGATAGAGAGGATTCTGAGTACTCTTAAGTGCCTGGTTTTTGGCTTTTTATGTCATTAGGATGTGGAATGTAGTGGGTAATCCAGTTAAGGTTTTTGTTTAAACCTCTTTTGTAGGTATTAAACTTGTAAATGTGCATTTAAATCAAATTACCATATGGACATGGTTGTTTCTTATGTTCTGGTACAACAGGCTTCTTCCTCAGAAAATTGTCAAGGCTTGGGCCATGACGGCCAAGAGGGTCATCAGGAGGCATGAACCTGTAACAAAAAATAACAACATAAAAGAACTCAACATCACATATCATTTTCATGTTCTTGTTGCATCTAATTATAGATGTGGACTACGCATTACAATTTCTCTGTCACATGTTATGTCAAATTTATTCTAAAACAGTAAGACTACATTTTCCAGGAACAGGTTTAACAAAGAAAACCAACATTTTGCAACTAAGAGGAAGTTGTCAAACCAGGACTATTCAACAAATGATTTTGCTCCAAAAGATAGTTTTGAAAGACTGCTTTTGCTTTACCGCTTTTGTCTGTCAGAAAAAAAATCCCAAAACATACTCCCTGGTTGTCATTCAATCTGTTTTACAGTCTGCAGAACTATGCAACGTATCACAGCACTACAGACAGAAATACAGGTCCAAATGTTTAAAACTGAATGCCTACATTACTATATGAGCACAAAGATAGAATTTATGTGATTGTTAGAGATGATGAGGAGATGTTGAGGAGCCTCCACTTTCACTGGGTGTAACAGGAGTTACATGTGATAAGCATTTCTTAGAATCATAGGATTGGAAAAAAAAATCTCAGGAGGTCAAGTCCTATCCCAATAGGACATCTATTCATGTCCTAAATTTATCTCTCATTTATTTAGGTGACTAAGTGGAGTTATTCCAGAATAGTTCAATTACCAGGACTAAGTGGCACCTTTATTCTGAAAAAAAGGTATCTCCACTCATGGAGTTAATCAGGAACAGTTAATCCTTTTTAATTTCATAGTCTACTTTCACAATTAATCTTCATGTATTGAAATTAAAGGGTTAAAATGTTGTCTTAAAAATAAGAACAGCTATAGTGAGTCAGAATAGCAATCCGTGTAGCCCAGTATTCTGTCTTCTGACAGTGGCCAAGGCCAGGTTCCTCAGAGGAAATGAACAGAACTGGTAATTAGCAAGTGATCCATCTCCTGTTGCCCATTCCAAGCTTCTAACAAAGACTTAAGGATACCATTCCTACCCATCCTGGCAGTCACTGATGGTCCTATCCCTCCACAAATTTATGTATCTCTTTTTTGAACTCTCTTGTAGTCTTGGCCTTCACAACATCCTCTGGCAAGGTGTTGCACTGGTTAACTGTGTATTTTGTAAAGAACTAGTTCCTTTGTTTTAAACTTGCTGCCCAATAATTCCATTTGGTGACCCCTAGTTCTTGTGCTATTAGGAGAAGTAAACAACACTTCTCTATTTACTTTTTCCATGCTATTAATGATTTTATAGACTTCTATCCTATTCCCCCCCCTCCTTTACACTCTTCTAAACTGAAAAATCCCAGTCTTCTTATTCTTTCCTCACATGTAATCTGCTCCACATCCTAAGAATTTTTGTTGCCATTTTCTGAACTTTTTCCAATTCCAACTTACCTTTTTTGAGATGGCGCAACCACATTTGCATTCAGTATTGAAGATGTGGGCATACCATGGATTTTTATAGGGGCAATAAGATATTCTCTGCTTTATGCTCTATCCCTTTCTTAATGATTCTCTTTTTCCAGATTATTTATGAATATACTGAATAATACTAGTCCTAGGACAGATCCCTGCAAGACACCACTAGTTACCTCTCTCCATTCTGAAAACTGACCGTTTATTCCCATCCTTCGTTTCCTATCTTTTAACCAGTTACCAATCCATGAGAAGACCTACCTCTTTTTCCAAGACAGCTTACATTTCTTAAGAGCCTTTGGTGGGGGACTTTGTCAAAGGCTTTCTAAAAATCTAAGTACACTATATTCACTGGATACCCATTGTGCATATGCTTGTTGATCCTATCAATGAATTCTAGCAGACTGGTAAGGCATGATTTGCCTTTAGAAAAGCCATTATGACTTTTTTCCAACAAATTACCTCCATCTGTGTATCTGACAATTCTGTTCTTTACTATAGTTTCAACTAATTTGCCCAGTACTCAAGTTAGGCTTGCCAGTCTTACACATGATTAAAGATTCTTTGTTGTTCACATAACAGCCAAAACAAAAGCCCCCCCTAGGCATTTTACATTATGGTTTACACTCAATATGCAAAGTTTTCTGAGCATCCTGGGAATTACATGGGTCCACTAAGCTGTCCAATCCTTTTTTAAAATTTGGATTCTTTCCTGGACAGGTGGGAAAGGTAAATAATACAATTTTACAGAGGTTGTTATTAGTTAAGATCTCTGGCAAAAAGCAGAATTTGAAACTTAGAAGACTAAGACCAGAGCCTTGGAACAACTACATCCTTTTATCTTCTCATGTGTAGTTAATAATTTTGATGGGACTCTAACATTAATGGAAGCCTCAAAGTGCCCTTTTTGCCATTAGTTTTCTAATAAGTGGTACAAAATGAAGATTACTTACTTGTCATTGACAAACGAATACATCAGCAATCGTTCATCTATGAACTTCTTCCATTCTGGCTTTTCATTAGCTAGATCCCTGTAGTTATCATTAGACACAATGATACCATCTGATTCAAAGGCCAGCTTTACTATGAATCTGTCATCATAGCACACCACCCTTCGCCCCTGCACACGACGAGATGGCGTAAACACCAGAATTTTCTCTTTTTCTAACTTGCGCAGGATTTCTTGATCTAGAAGTATTAGGAAATAGTCAAAGATTTAATGCCTGAAGTGAAATCAGGAATTTTTTCACTCTTTGCAGATCTAAGGGTTGATGCAAAAGGTCTACGTTTTTAGGGCTAAAATATGCCCCACTTATAATAGTTATAATCCAGTAGTAAACACCTGCTGCATCATGTTTTAAATTAATATTAATCAATTATCCAACACCACATTTAAAAAACAAATTCATTCCATAGCACTTTTATCAGATCATCAGAGAAGACTATGTTTTGTACTGACTTTGCTACTTCTGCAGCTGTTAACAGATACTCCAACAACCACATTTAGGAAATGGGGATTTTTACATTAATTGCTGTGATGTCCAGCGGAGAGTTCACAGGATGCAAAGGAGCTCTCCTTTCTGCTGCTGCCTGGCCATGTCCTAATGTATTCTGACTGTAAGCAAGGTTCTCCCATGACCATATTCTGAAGTACAGATTTAACTTTTCATCCTCACTTGGTATTCATTAAGGTTAAACTTCTGAAATTGTTCCAGTAGTTCATATTAATTGTGCTCTCTCCCTCTCCAAAAGTATTTGACAATAATAATAAAAAAAAAATCAGCAGAAAGAAAACTCTCCCCCATAAGGAGTCAATGCTACTACAACACATAGGAACCAGTTTTCCAGCCTGTGGCGAAGTCTAGTATCGTGGATATTACATGGCCTCAATTTCTCAAATGTGCAGACTCAACTTTCCTCTGACAGGACCCACAAAAAAAGCTGGCTTCACAGCTGCAGCACCAGGTTTCAGAATAAATTCAACTTTCCCTCCATATTCTCAGACAAATGGCTAATGATATAGACTTTGACTCCCTTCTCCAACGGTCAAAGGTCTAATTTCTTTTCAACCTACAAAAAATAAGCCAAATCAAATCCACAGAAACTGCTTGATTCTATTAAACAAGCATATTTAACACCTTGCAGATATGCTATTGCATGTGTCCCTTTGGATCAAATACACAAAGACATTTTCTCTGATCCTTGTATTGAAGCGCTTGAGAGGCTTACAAGCTGTTTAAGACCTTAGATAGTTAAACTGCTTTTTGGACTACAAGAAATAATCTCTTCTGCCTCGAACAAAGGTGTATAGGAAGAAATATTAACACTGACCAGATTTATAAGATGTGTATTTGGTGCATGATTAGAAATACTTAAGATTCAAAGATCAGTATTTTCAGTACCCAATCCTTCCTTTCAATTTTCCTGTTGCCCCCAATGACTTATTAAAGTTTTGAATGAAATAGCAGCTATTTATAATTGATGACTGATAAAGCAATAAAAGCTATGCTTCAAAGACTGTGTTCTGTTCTTTAGTAACCACCATTTTTATACCTATTCCATCTAAAATCCCTTTAAACTCAGGAAGGCCACATGTTACCAGATTTATCAGGATGAAGATCTCACAATGTAATTTATCAGTGACAAAATTTTAATGTAATTTTATCTGGACAAAAACAATATCACCACTAATAATCTGCAGATGGCACCAGAATTGGGGAGTGGAAAATAATGAAGAGGACAGGTCACTGATACACAGGATTTGGATTGCTAGGTGAACTTTGCACAAGCCAACATGGATTTTAATATGGCTAAATGTAAATGTATACCTTTATGAACAAAGAATGTAGGTTACACTTCCTTAATTGAACATTATCATAGGAATAATTTTTCAGTGATCCTGAAAAAGGTTTGAATGTTCCAGTGGCTTCCAATGTGACGCTGTGGCCAAAAGAGCTAATGCATAAACAGGAATCTTGAATAGGAGTAAAAAGGTTATTTTACCTCTATATTTGGCACTCGTACCATAGCAGCTATAATACTGCTTCTTCTTCGAGTGCTTGCTTATGTCCATTCCAGTAGATGTGTGCGCACCACGTACACGTCTGCCGGAACTTTTTACCCTTAGCAGTACCCGTTGGGCCAGTCAGGGAGTCCCCTAGAGTGGCACTAGTGTAGCCGCACATATATGCCCCTGGTGGCCCCAACTCCCCTCAGTTCCTTCTTACCGCCCGTGACGATGGACTGGAACACTGGTCTTGCTCTGCGAGACTGCCCTTGATGTTAGCTATCTCTTGTGTAAATAGTTGTTCTCTTAAGTGTAGTTCTTTGTTATTCATAGTTAGGTGTTAGTGTTACTCTCTCCTCCCCCGTGTGAGGGAAGGAGGGATGCCGGGGTCCCAGAGCTGATGCTGCTCCAAACTTATGCCCCACGGGGACCCTCACAAGGACTGTTTAAAGTGCTTGGGTGAGAGACATCTTACAGACTCCTGTAAGATTTGTACGTTTTTCAAGCCCCGGACCAAGAAGGAGCATGACTGGAGACACAAACTGTTATTGATGGAGTCAGTGCTCCAAACCCAGGCACTGGCGGCATCATCAGTGCGGACCACACTGGGGTCAGTGCGGGAGTCTGGGCACCAGAGGAAGCACACCTTGCCACGGGAGCACCAGTCGGCACCACGGCACCAGTCCCACTCTCCAGACCCACAGGCGAATAAGAGGGTGCACAGAGACAGGTCGCCCTTGTGTGCAAGGAAAGAGGTGCGCCAACAGAGGGGGCACCCAAGCCCTCCCACACCGGAGAGGAGCCACTGGAGGCTGACTCCCTGGACCTGTCTGTGGAGGAGGCCTGACCACCGCTGACGCCAGAGATGTTCCTGGCAGCTCAAGAGCTGATAGAGCTCACAGCGTCCCCGGGATTGGCACCGGGGGATGCGGAAGCCCATCCCAGATGGGAGACACAAGTAGCACAGTCAACAGCGGCACTGGGTGTGTTGGTGCCTCCCCATCAGGCACCGCACCACTCAGCACCACATGCCTTCACGCCAATTCTGCCTCAGTCAGCACCGGCACCGCCCATACCAGCACCACTTACCCCAGCAGCGGTACTGCCGCCGCCCGCACCACTAGCACCAGTACCACTCATGGCTCAGGTACCGTGTTTGCAGCCACAGGAGATTAAGGTCATGCCCCTGCTGACACACTGTGGCAAGCCAGCGGCTATGACGCATCATATTCACCAGGAGGGGCAGGAATGGCCAGGAGGGGCAGGAATGGCCGACGGCACCACCACGGTTGGCCTCCGACTACTCCTCCGAATCATAGGTGGAGTCTCTCTCCTCTAGGGCCTCCTCAAGATGCTCAGGCAGGTCACGGAGGGATAGTCCCTGGCACCGTTCCAGATCCCAGCACGGCTCGACCTCCCATCACAGGGACCAGACCCATCACCCAAGGGAAGTGCAGACTTGGCCGCCACAGTGGCCTTTCTGGACCCCATGGGCATACCACCAGAACCAGGGACAGGACTAAATGAGGTTGGGGTCGGTTAGTTCTTCCTCTTGCTCAGGGCGCAGGACAGCTCCCTCCACCACCTCGCTGTTTAGGGACCTGGGGTCAGAGGGCAGAGCTTCCCCACCAGGTATGGCTGGAGTAGGGGCTCCCCCACAGCAGATGCCGGTGCCGGCTCAGTCTGTCACGCAGACTTTGCCACAGCACCCGCAGGACTCCAGGGACGTGCTCCTCCAGGGTCAACAGGAGGCTCGGGATTTGTCCTCCTCCCCGCCAGATGAGGCCTTGGGGGACCCATCCCAAGCTATGCCAACCATGGACATGAGGGCCCATCAGGATATCCTGAGAATAATGGCCCAGAATCTGGGGGTACATGCCGAGGAGGTCAAGGAAGAAGAGGACCTTGTCGTAGACATTATTACGGCAGATGGGTCAACCAAGATCGCCCTCCCGTTGAATAAGACGGTGGCAAAAATTACCAAAACCCTCTGGCAAACCCCAGGGTCCATACATCTGATGCAGAAAGGGGTTGAGAGGAGGTACTTTGTCCCCCAGGAGGGCCATGAACACCTGGGGGGTGGTGCAGGCAGCCTGTCAGAGGGAGAGACAGGGACAGCTGGGGCCCATGCCCATGCCCATGAGCAAAGAGCCCAAGCAGTTCGACCTACTGGGCAGGAAGGCGTACGCGACGGCAGGCCTGCAATTGAGAATAGCCAATCAGCAGGTTATGCTCAGCAGGTACGCCTATAACTCCTGGGTGGCCGCTGATAAGTTCAAGGCTCTCTTGCCCCTGGATATCCAGCAAGAGTTTGCGGCTCTGACTGAGGAAGGCAGAGTGGTCTCCAGGTTGGCCCTCCAAATGGCCCTGGATGCGGCCGACTCGGCAGCGTGGGCTATGGCTATGGCTACAGGCATAGTCATGTGCCAGAGTTCCTGGCTCCAGGTTTCTGGAATCCCCCCGGAAGTGCAGACTACTCTGCAAGACTTGCCCTTCGAGGGGACTAGCCTATTCTCAGAGCAGATGGACAGTAGGCTCCATAGCTTAAAGGATTCAAGAGAGACCCTGAAATCCTTGGGTCTTTACACCCCGGCCCCATGGGGGGGAGGGACAGAGGGGCTTTAGTCAAGGGGCCAGGTTTGACAGCAGGCATAGATCCCAGGGTGGTAACAACAGGAATGCTAGGAGATGCTTGAGGTCGGGCTCTGACTACAACCAGGGATCGCTGCATAAGCCCCAGGGCCCTAGGTCGGGGGTTTGATGGTACACATGAGGACGGCACCCCAGTCAACGCCCTAGATCGACCCTTTGCGGACAGATTATTCCCTTTCCACCATGCTTGGGCAGCTATCATGTCGGACGGGTGGGTCCTAGAGGTGGTGGCAAGGGGATATTCTATCCCATTCTTGTCCCTCTCTTCCCCATCCCCTCCTTCCCTGTCCCTTTTCAGGGACCCCTCTCACAAGCACCATCTTCGGCAAGGGGTTGCCGCGCTCCTATCTTCAGGGGCAGTGGAAGAGGTCCAGATAGCCTTCAGGGGGAAGGGGTTCTATTCCCACTACTTCCTGATAACAAAGGCAAAGGGTGGCCTTCATCCCATTCTGGACCTCAGGAGGTTGAACGCCTTCATAAGGAAAGCAAAGTTCAGGATGGTGACATTGGCCTCCATTATCCCGTCACT